CCACCAATGCTCCAGTTCCCACTGAAGTACCAACTCCTATCACACCTGCAGTGCCAACCCCTGTACCAGTTCCAAGCACTTTAGCGCACAGATTGTTTGGGTTTTTGCAATCATGTATGCAAGTTTTTTGGCAGATTTTACAGTTGTGAGCATGATATCCAAAGGGTAAGGGAGTCTTTACTGTTAGATGTTTCACTTCCACTTCCTTCCAAATAATTTCTTTTGCTAGATTTTCCATGTCTTTATTTGAATTGTACTGATTAATAATTGTCGTCTTTAGTTCAACTGCATATCTTACACTGTTCATCAGTAAGACTTTTCTCTCTTCTAGGAGTTTTGTCTCTTGCAAAAGGTCCCGTGTTCGTTTTAGACTTACTGAGGGTGAATTTTGTAAACCTTCAAAAAATTTGTCATATTGAGCTTGCATGTTATTCCATCTATACTTAAGGTGCATATGCCGGTCTTCCTCAGAGAGATTTAGTGCGTGAGTAACATACAGAGGCCAGTTGTCTAGTTGGTACATGTTCATAAACTGTACACCAGCATGTCTCACCACTTCAATTACTGCCGGGGTGTCATCAGAAGCATACGTGGCCATGAGCTGCGTTATGTCTCCAACGTTACTCCCTAACACCGAGGTAAATTCCTTCAGCATTTGTAGCTGATATGGTAAAATTCTGTTTTGATTTGCTTTGGCAACTAAACCCACACATGAAAGGTCATCTACACCAAAGTCATTGGTCAAGAAGGCAGTCAATCTTTTTAGGGTGACACTCTCATGATCTTTTCTCGTGTCATTAAACCCAGGAGTGTCTATCAGCATATAATTATTCTCTCGAGGCATTCCAGGTTGATGATATATAATGTAGGCAGTGATATACTCCGTCTGACTCTCTACTTTGAGTAAGTTATCTCTTCCAACATAATCTTTCACTTGAAACCTAAACTTATCCTCAAGAAGGACACCGAACAGATGGTTGATGAAGGCATTGATGACACGGGTCTTGCCAGCACCTGTCTCCCCCAGCAGGAGAACGGACTGGAGGGGTCCTTCATTCACGGGGCCAATGGCCATCACTTGTATCTTGTTCTCTTCATCCTTGAGGAAATCTTTAGCCTCCACTTCATAGGTTGTAAGGCCTTCCTCCTCTCTCACTACTGAACAACAATCCCTTATCAAGGTTTTCTTCAGCTCGGCATTCTCCATCTTGTCATCACTGCACAACCTACAGTACAGGAAAACATATCTTAGTATTTTATGAAGAAGATACATACTTACCATAAATTATCTAGATGGTCCGTCTCTCATAACGATCTTCAAGAGTGAAGTGCTTCCCCATCTGAAGTACTGTCACCCTGTCTGGTCCCCGAGATATACTAGGGACTGTTAGTTGATTGAAAATGTTCAAAGGAGGGCCACCAGACTGGTGCCTGCACTTCGGCACCTCAGCTACCCTGAGAGATTAGAGCGCCTGCAACTGTCTAGCTTATACTACAGACTTGCAAGGAGGGGGGGGGGGGACCTAATTGAGGTGTATAAGCATCTCAAGGGGCACTACTCAGTCGAGTGTCCTTACCTGGAGCTGGCGGACGCTCGCCCCACAAGGGGTTACAGCTCAAGGTTGAAGAAGCTGCAGGCCCAGAAAATTGTGAGGACAAACATTTTCGAAGTGAGAGTTGTTGTGAACTCTTGGAACAATCTACCAGAGTGTGTTGTGACGGCACCGAGTGTGAGCTGTTTCAAGACCAAAACTGGAGCAGGTTCAGATACATTCAGGAGCCAGTGCCTGCTCAGTACATGCCAACAGTGCATAACAGAGACGTGACTGATCACCCAAGTGGCTAACAAGCTGATCAGACTATAAGAGAGAGGGTAGTTTGTTATATGACGATTTCACTTATACTGCACTTCAGCAACCCAACCTAACCTAACCTATACAGCACAATGGTCAAATTGATCGATGATTCCCTGTATACTGTCTTAAACAAAGGCTGATGTAATTGTTCTGTCCAAATTGTCTTAACAAAGTCAACCAAAAAAATTTTTCTCGAATTATGAACATCTTTCTCTTGTAATGAACTTCTCTTCACCATTGGTCGGCTCTCATGCCAGTCTAGCCGGTCGGGTGATCAGTTCATTTCTCAGTTCCACACACTGTTGGTAAGTATGGCTCGACCGGATTGTATAATGTACACCCACAAAAAACTATTCGGCACCCGTGTCATATTGTATCACGCCGCAGGGGTGCCGAATAATTTTTTAGTGGGTGTACGTGCACTACCTGCCCATGTGGCAATTTTTATCACGTCTGGTCTTAAAAGAGCTCTCACTTCAGGCTGTGACCCCCTATTGAGCGGGCATCTACTAGCACCAGATATGAGCACTGGGTTGAATAATGTCCTCTGACCTGCTTATAAACTCCAATTTAATGAAACTTAAAGCTCAATATTTCTTCGTAAACTAAAAATATTATCGAATATTCAACCGCATTGCCAAACTTGATAGGAACAGTACACAAGCACACACCGATGATAAGACAACACCACCAACGGAATAAGACAACACCACCAACGGAATAAGACAACACCACCAACGGAATAAGACAACACCACCAACAGTATAAGACAACACCACCAACAGTATAAGACAACACCACCAACGGTATAAGACAACACCACCAACAGTATAAGACAACACCACCAACGGAATAAGACAACACCACTAACAATATAAGACAACACCACCAACGGTATAAGACAACACCACCAACGGAATAAGACAACACCACCAACGGTATAAAGACAACACACCAACGGTATAAGACAACACCACCAACAAGACAACACCACCAACAGCATAAGACAACACTACCAACAAGTATAAGACAACACCACCAACAGTATAAGACAACACCACCAACAGTATAAGACAACACCACCAACAGTATAAGACAACACCACCAACAGTATAAGACAACACCACCAACAGTATAAGACAACACCACCAACAGTATAAGACAACACCACCAACAGTATAAGACAACACCACCAACAGTATAAGACAACACCACCAACAGTATAAGACAACACCACCAACAGTATAAGACAACACCACCAACAGTATAAGACAATACCACCAACGGTATAAGACAACACCACCAACGGTATAAGACAACACCACCAACGGAATAAGACACCACCAACGGTATAAGACAACACCACCAACGGTATAAGACAACACCACCAACGGTATAAGACAACACCACCAACGTATAAGACAACACCACCAACGGTATAAGATAACACCACCAACAGTATAAGACAACACCACCAACGGTATAAGACAACACCACCAACGGTATAAGACAACACCACCAACGGTATAAGACACCACCAACAGTATAAGACAACACCACCAACAGTATAAGACAACACCACCAACAGTATAAGACAACACCACCAACAGTATAAGACAACACCACCAACAGTATAAGACAACACCACCAACAAGTATAAGACAACACCACCAACAGTATAAGACAACACCACCAACAGTATAAGACAACACTACCAACAGTATAAGACAACACCACCAACAGTATAAGACAACACCACCAACAGTATAAGACAACACTACCAACAGTATAAGACAACACCACCAACAGTATAAGACAACACCACCAACAGTATAAGACAACACCACCAACAGTATAAGACAACACCACCAACAGTATAAGACAACACCACCAACAGTATAAGACAACACTACCAACAGTATAAGACAACACCACCAACAGTATAAGACAACACCACCAACAGTATAAGACAACACCACCAACAGTATAAGACAACACCACCAACAGTATAAGACAACACCAGCTGGGGGTTGACAGGAATAACATTTAGTGGTTGATGATAAACTAGTAAGCCTTAGGATTTCCTGTACAAGATCCTTTGTCTTCTCAAAACGTTTCGTCACATAGTGTTGCCCTCCCCCCCCCCCCCCCCCCCCCATTTAACCTTGTGGGTCAGGAAGGCCGGGGGCGGGGGGGAGGAGGACTCAGTGCGTGAGAACTACCCTAAATTATTCTCTTGATTTTGTTAAAGGAATATTAAAAGAAAATGAAGGGTGGATATTCCGTAACCCGGCAATAAGGGAGAAATCACGATGACCGCCAAGACATTGTGATACCTACTGTACGTGTTTGTCCATATCTCCTCTTGTACACATCAGAGTCAGGAACATTTTTTTTCTGGGAGGGGGGGGGGGGAATGGCTGCTAATATGGTCTCTCGTTACTATAAATATTATAGTTACATTACTTGTTGACTCATTTGACCTAATGAACAAGCTAGAAAAATTTTTTTGTTTGTGAACCTGAGGAGAAGTACCTAACAAACGCAGACTATTTGAAACCAACTCGGTGGCCTCCAGCTCGACCCACCCTTCTAGTGGGTGTTATGGCATGTATCAGACGACTTCCTTTTAAGACTCTAAGGACATTTGGAGATATGTGTGATAGCTTTCTTGACTGAATTGAAAAACTGACAATTCGTGCAAATCGTATTAATTTCTTTATAGATACATATATGGACGTGTGTGTGTGTGTGTGTGTGTGTGTGTGTGTGTGTAGGAGAAAGTGAAAGACTCCGACCGTCTACTTGCAACCCAATCGAGATCAATATATTGTAATTAGACAACCATTTCCAGTGCTAATGGGTAATTTATGGGCTTCACCCAGCAACAAAGAATAACTTCTGAAACTTCTAAGGTTAAGTTTGTAAATGTAGAGTTAGGTGTGGACCCAGGTGACATAGATAGAGAAGTACCTTGTGCAGCTACTGAGACCCGGCACCGAGTTGAGTATGAGGGAGGACTACATGTACTCGTGTCTACTGTGTGTACCATCAAAGACCAACACATTTACAGATTTGCCGCCAACAAAAGGACACATATTACTTCTTTCTTTACAATATACAGGTAAATCCTCTGGCTACTGTGAAGGAGATGGACTACTAAAAGCTTGTGAATTTCAAGAGTTATTTCCCAATGTTTGCCTCTAGAAAGTAAGTGTGGAAAAAGTGCCACAAAGAGGCGTCCATGTCGAAAACTGACCATTACTCCATGCTGTACCTCCCGCAACTGTACCTTTAAAAGCAACTGCAAGAATCAGCATATTGTCTAGCCCTAATAGGTAAAATTGCAGATTACCGCAACCAAAGAATCTGATAAAAAAAAATTTTCTGATAGTTTTTGATGCCATTGGTTCAAATCTGACATCCTTTTTTTATAGGATGATACTCGTTTTGAATTTAGTCCCCCCCCCCTCCCTTATAATAGTTTTATCGATTGCGTGTTTTGAATTCCCGGTTCTCCGTGCTCCGCCCCCGGTGACCCTAGCCGGGGGCTTCGCCCCCGTACCCACAAACGCTATGTAATAACCCTAGAGCCCCGTGGTCAGCCTGCACGAGAATATAAATAGCCGTTAGAGTATTTCTTACCTTCCTCTGAGTCAGGGTCAGAGTCAGGGACCAGAATGCGTCGTGGGTTCCCTGTTCCCTAAAGTTTCCTTATTTTTAGATTTAAATAATACAATAAACTTACAAAAATATAAATCGCACCCAGCAAGTTATGGCTCCATGTTGCAACTGATTAAAAATGTCCCGCATCTTAGCACTCACGCCGAATATTGAACACTAATTGGTTGAATCAAAAGTTGAGATCTTTTATTGGATTTGATTGGCTGCGGTCACCCCCAATTTGATTGACGGCCGCCCCCTGGCACAGGCGCGGGAGCAACAGCGTAGGGGCAAAAAGTGCTGATTTTATTTATTTTTCTTTAATTTCAATAACTTCCTTATTGTCAATTTGTAACGGAAGTGTAATACAAGAAAATTATCATAGACAAAATAGTTCTATCGATTGAGTATAGTGAGTATAGTGAATTTCCGGAATTCTGTGGATGGTGTAAACTGCAATATTACCGCCTTAATGTACTGTACAGTAGGTGTTACGTGATTCACTTATTTTTTTTTTTTTTTTTTTTTACGGGGATTAGCCCACCTGGGCACAGGTCACTGACCCAAATCGGGGCCTGGGGGGCGATAATGTAATAATAATTCATAGCAAATAAAATTTATAATAAAATATACAAAATTTAAAATAAAATAATAAATTAATAATAATAATAATAATAATAAAACAGTAATAATAATAATACAGAAATACAAAATGAAAAAAATAAAATCAAATCAAAAGT